ATATATATATATATATATATATATATATATATATATATATGCAGTGACGCTATTTGAATTTTTTAATTATTTATACCACGCTCTGATCGCGTAAGACATCACGTCTATGAATACCTAACGTCGTTCAATTACACCGTGAGCATCGCGCTAGAGTACTGACATGGAACATCGTGAGGGAAACCTAATGGACGTTAACATAACGTAATGACTTAGAGTTCTGACGGAATTAAAATTAAAGCGCCTTCTATTTGTGTGTCGTAAAATCGATGGTCCCGCGGCTAAGTTGACTTTCAGAGCGTGAAATCGATCTGCGAGGGATGGTCTGAGAAACGACCAGGGCAATAAACACAAAGCGAAAAAGAGATCGAGGAAAATAACGCACCAACCATAACGCACATACGCTGACACACTTTTCCGAGATACGGCGAGATCGGACGGAGAACATTTGATTCAATATCATTGCTTATCATCTGCGTTTGTCGAGCTCTTTAACGCATTTAGTCGCCACATTGATTTCCGTTGATTGCATTAATTTAACTGACGACTGAGTGTCCAAGCTTATTCTTACAGACCGAATACAAGTATAATTATATTGTTATTTTTTGGAGCTAAATTATATTAATATTTAATGCTTCCTCTGAATTACCAGCGATACGATAAACGAGAAATGTAATTCGGGATGCAAATATCTTTTATTTCGTTTCATTGGCTCACTCTTTATTGTATAATCAATTTTTCAAATGCAATTAATTATACTTTACATGTAACTTAATAATGCCGCCGCATTTCATTAATTTGTGAACAAGACATAACCAATTGTATGCAACGAATTAAACGTACGACCGAATGGGGATCAATAAAGCCAATGTATGTGTGGAACGAGCCAATAGATATGTGTATCATCAATTACATTTATTTATCGAATCTCTGGTTAAATTTCATAATAAAATTGAAACAATAAAATTAAAAATTTCAAGTCAAAAAGCGATAAAAATAAATAATAATATTCAAAAATAATTTTTAATCCTCCGCGTATACAATATTGGCTCTGTGAGACATGAACGAATAACCAATTGCTCATCAACTTTCGTAATAAGAAAACTTCAAAATAGCATAAGTTTGTTTGCAGATTTTGACTTTACCATCTTACAGCTGAAGCTTTTTCCATATCTCTGAGAAAAATGTATCTAAAAATATTGATTTTCAACAGTTATGTATTAGTTTAAAGTTGCCCAAGTTTGACAGACACTGGCTATATTGCAAATCCAATCAGACACTGCAAATCAAACCGAATATTGCATATTTTTTGTCCCAAAAAATATACGCAGAAGGTCCATTTCAGAAGTAATTGTTGAGTAGTCAGTGAAAATTAACGCAGCGTGTTGAGTTAAAACCCTGAAAAGGTGAGGAGAGAGGTGACGCGAAACAATAGTACCCAAATATTTTCCGATCTTAAGCAGATTCCGCGCACTGTGTCGGCGATTTTTTCGTAGGAATGGGAAAGTGTTGCGTCGCGAAAGAAATTGTATCAATCACCCTTTCACTCGCGAATCGAATGCACACGGCTAAGTAAGCTTCATGCCGCGCATCAAGCCATTACGAGACGATAAGGCCCGTTCTACAATACGTCGTATGACGGATTCGGATGTCGGAACGCAATCAATGGTCTAATCAGGAGAACTCGTCACGAAAAACAAATCCTCTGATTGGCTCATCAATCGCGTCCCGACGTCCGACAGCGACATACGACGTATTGTAGAACCAGCCTAATGCCGTTCTTTATGTGCCATTCGACGCGTCGCGAATCGCGGCGACGGCGGCGGTGGCGAGTGAATAGCCGTGTGGCGAACACACGCCGCCGGTTTGCGGCTGAATGGGGATCCCCCAGATGCTTTCTTGGTACGGGGCGCTCGAAATTACGCCAGATATCGATTAACCGACGTTGCTTGCGGAAAGCCGGTGAACACGCGCCACCGCGGCGCGAATACCAAAGTGCGCTACTTACAACTTTCGACGGGATGTGCACCTTGTACGCGCCGCGATGCTGGTAGCGTTGCTGATAGCCGACCGGAATTAGATCGGTGTTCAGTCGAAGGTCGAGAACGCGCTCCACTCCGTCCACGTTGAAACCCACCGTCAGCACGTCCGCGTGTTCGATGTCCTGAAAAAGAAAAAAAAGAAAGGGTTGAAATTGAGTTTCCGTCCAGCACTTCGTGCCCGACAATCGTATTCTACGACTTGTTCGCGGTTTCTTTCTGAGCCGAATCCTCTCACCTGTCCAATTCTCCAAAGAGAGATCACATAATTATTCTTTCGAATCTGCACGGTACGGGATAAAAGTGCGTCAACCGTAAACCTCTATCGCGGTTAATTTATAGCACACTGAATTCGCTGGAAATTGGCTGGAGTCGGACGAATTTCGTTCATTGACATTTAGTTTTACGTATCATATTTCGTACATACTTTTGCAGCAGGTATCGATTGAATCTACCTGAGTCAAAATTTATTCTTATTTTCAGCTTCACTATTCTATTCAATACTTATTTTGATACTAGAGAAATTTCGAATATCACTAGAGTCAAAGTAGGAGTAAATTGTATTATTAGAATTAAACCTACTTTACTAAGCTCCTACTGCGTTGTAGAACTCAATACTTAAATAGAGCCAAAATTCCGACTCGAACAGTTAATTACAAATCGCTGAGTTGTTCTCGTTCGACAGATGCGACGGATTCGTCGCGGCTCAATATTGCCAAACAACCGATTTTCTTTGTTGTCGAGAAGCGCTGAAGAGCGCGATCGCGCGCGCACCTGTTGCACTAATAGCAGCAAAACTATGCTTAGACTGGAGAAAAGAAAATTTCTCCCGTGAAAATTGAATCCCCGAGATCAATGTAACGTCGAGCAATTAATTTTATACTCGAATGCTCGCTTTCTCCGACCATGAAATCAAGTGGTGTCCGGATATCCAAGTTGAGCGCGCTGGTAAATAAGAACGGATGCTGATGGGAATCCCCAGTGCATTCACTCATTGTTGGTTGAATATCGAGCGATTTAATAAAGTCGCTATTTACTCGTTCATATCGCTTCCGTGATATTGTGTACAACTAAACTAAAATTAACTACAACAGCTCTATCAACGTAATTGACATTTAACATTGTTGTACTCCCAAAAAAGAACTCTAGTTGCAAGATGATAATCCCATAATCTGAGCGGCAACTTTTACCAAAAGAGTATTCTCCTGCTAAGTAGAATTCTATTAACTGGAAATCTAGGTATTTTTCTAACTTTATTCCTCTTGAATTATTAAGAAGGATGTGTTTACTTGAAACAAGGTGTCGTCTTGTTAGAAAAAACTTCTGTTAAGTACAAAACGTATTCATTTGCGCTGCATTCCTCTCGTTTAATTGTGAAATATTCCTCTCAGTAATTTTTGGAATATTTTTCTTCAATTTTCTTTCAAATCATGTGACGCAAACGACGGTGACAATCGTCGTAACGTCATATGTCCAATATCTAATTACTGAGCGCGAACGCAAACGTGACAATCATCTCGTATTTCGTTCGCAATTACCATTTCCACGCTGGACCCGCGCGCGATTAATCGCGACAGGTAAGTTCAGACGTGCACGATCACAAAGAGAGACATCGAAATCACGCCCGGCGGACACGTCGACGACTCCGCTGCTTCGTATTTATCGTTTTCCAGGTGCACGCTTAATACGATTCTGTCGTATCGCGTAAAGCATTTAGCGATATTAGATTCGGGCAGGAGGGCCGAAATTCATAAACTCTTTGGGAATCCGGCGCCGCCTTCCCGACGGCCGCCCCGGCGAGTGTACGCGTGCCGAGTGCGAAATGAATTTGCGAATCTCGTTTGCGCGGCGGCCCGGTGGGCGCGCGATGTTTAATTCATAGGGTATGTCCCGGACGGGTACTTTTCCCCGTACGCGGGGGAGACACCGAGCTCCGACGGGAACGCGCGGGGGTGGGTGGATATGCCGCGTGGATCCGCGGACGAGAGCCGGATGCTGCTGCAGCAGCGCCCCGTGTTCATGTCGCGTCGCGTCGCTGTGCCGACGATGTCACCGACGCTAACAGTGGTTAATAGTCGGCCCCGCTGACAGTCACCATTAATCCTAGACCGACAGACCGGATAAATTTTTGGCCGCACCGTTATCGGTGGAAATGAACGCATGATTCGCGCGCTGTCCGCTTACGTGTCTTCGAATAAACGATCCTCCTGCCAAATGACGGGCACTCTCTGGTCGACGTGTTCGCAGCGTCGGTTTTTCCCCGTCCGAAATGTGTCGAGTTATGTTCCAGTAGCATCATTGTCGAAACGGCTGACTAATTCATCTGGACGGAGTTGGTGCGCTTTGCTCCGAGAGTCGTTTAATTCGCGAAGCCGCGGAGAAGCCGAACGACAAACGACCACTTGAATCGAAATTTTGTGATTCTACACAGAGAGAACGATTTGGTTGAATCAAATAAACACTTCTTTGGAATAGTCCAAACGAATTTTTCGATTGATCAAACAAAATTTTGTTTGAAGCAACAAAAATATTTATTTGCGGTTTGGTTACAAAGAAACATTTTTGTTGTGTCGACCAAATAATTCGTTTGGACTATTCCAAAGAAATATTTACTTGAATCAATAAATCGTTCTTTCTGTGTGTACTCCCGTTATCTCATTATTCCAATGAATGGCTACTTTGATATTAATCCCTTTTGATTATATTTAACTCACTTCTAACTTAAGGATTTTAGAACCTACAAGCATTTTGTGCGTTTAGAGGTGCTATAAGTAGGACTTCAGTTACAATGTATACTAAGCACGCACTGATCCTTCAGAATATACAAATAGTGGATAGTTCAGGTGAGAAGTATAGGGTTGAAATTACGATTCTTTCGTTAAGGGAGAATCGACTCCCGCCCGAGGGAGTCATCACGGAGATCGGAAAAAATTTAATCGTTACGGCGGTTATTATAATTTTCCATTTTCGTCTTTCTTTAATAACGCGGCTCTTCCAAGTCTCTCTATTTGAACGTGGCTTCCACTGTCCCGATTTATTTTCAACGGCGTAAAAGTCGGCGAGTGAAATAAGAGCGCGCCGGTTCCTATCGCCAACGCATAAATCCTCCCGGGTAAAGTCGGCGGTATACATTCTTTCCCCGCAGACAGCGAGAGAACAACCGTCTCCTTCGCGCGCAACCCTAACTAAATGCTTCTCCCGCTATCTACGGTTACGGCCAGAGCTTTGATTGAGAGGGGAACGACAATGGGGGAGAGGGACAGGGAAGCGACGCTAACCGAGAGTTAGTTAATCAAGGTTGTCGCTCTGCTACCGACGCTTTAGAAGCTCCCAACTTATACGGCAATCCCTTTCTGGCTGTACTTCACGTCGGTCTTTACGTTTTACAATTTACGTCGTCGGGGGCGGACGGAATAAAAGAAGCTTTCAACTAACCATCTCCCATTGCGCGCACAAAGATGTCGAGGTGTAACGAGATAGAGGGAGGAGAGAGAGAGGGAGAGAGAGGGAGAAAGAGAGAGAGAGAGAGAGAGGAGGAACGCGCTCGGCTCTTAATTACTCCAAGTGCCGCGTTCAACTGAAATTGTGGTGGTAATTACCGATGTAATGCAGCGCCGTGAGATTGGAGAGGCCGCGTTTCAACGTCGGCGTGGCGGTCGCGGATGGACCTAGTGAGCGACGCGCGGCGGCAACAACAACGACGACGGTGCCCTGTGCTATCATGAATTATTGATTAACCTCCTTGCGCTCCGACAGAGGCGAGTCTAAACAGGCGCGCTGCTCCCAGCAGAGGAGCTGCGCCTATTTGCATAAAAGAATCGCCGGCGTGATCACGGAAATACGCCGGGGATGTTGCCGGGGGTTCTTGCCCTGGCGAATCCCGGAGATGCTTTCTTTTTTTTCGTGCACCGACGTTGCGCGCGGTAAATTAGACCGAAACGGAGCGGCTAAATCAGCGTGAGAAAGGCGGACGTTCGCGAGTCGCGAAAATACGATCGCGGCGATTCAGGGAAATCCAATTACGGCGGAACGAAGGAACACGCCGGTGCCAATTGACCAGCCCCGTGTCGTCGCTTCGCTATTCTGAATTCGACGTTGCGTTCCCGAAGTGACAGTTTTAAACGCGCCGGTTTTATATCTTTCGCGCGCGACAGAGAGAGAGGCAGACTCGCGCGGAATATGAAAGTATCATATGAGATTGTGCTCGCGAGAGTACATCGCGACACACCGGATGCGAATAAAATTGCGTTAATTTCGTAATTTAGCGCGCCGCTACCGGTACACGCTGATAAATAACGCCCGAGTTCACGCGGAGCTTTTAAAATTGTTACAATCGCGGTTATATAGCCCTTAAAAATGCATATCGCGCGGAATCAGCGCGCGTTTTATAAAATATGGACCGTCGGCGTTCTTCGCCGCGCGTCATATAGTTATTTACACGAGCTGAAACGTTAGTTTCTCTCTAGTTAGTCTCTCTCGCTCTATCTCTCGCTCGCGAGGAAGAGTAAATTGCGATTTGTAAGTACGCAATTTGGGTATATTTTGAAGTAAGGGGATTAATTAAAATATAATAATTGGGATCAGTCGGGTCGAGTTTGACGTGAAGAATTGGATTCGCCGCGCATGTTAAAAACCGGAAAACGTTCGATGCGTGTGACACTGCGAAATAATATATACATTACCCTCCCATAAATAAATTATTTGTATTAACATTCATCGCACGGGATTCTTAAGAGATCACGTTACTCTGAGGCGTTAAAAAAAATTAATGATTTCTAATATTTCTTTCAGCGCCTCAGGCGCTGTAACATGATCCCTTAATGAGCTTACATCACTTTTAATGTGGTTGTATCTCAGAGCCTTTGATCAGTAATTCGCGAAAATCGCGCGACGAGTCGCGAAGAATTCCCGACGTGATGTCCGCGAGAGCGACTCACTGTCGGGAGACAAATGGCGCAAAATGGTGAAAGACATTTCTTAAGAAACGATCCGACGATCCCACGGGCGTACGGCTGCGCCGGTGTACGTGATGTTCGACAATGCGCCTCTTTGAAATCCTTTCAGCGCGCTGTATATCATTGTCCAATGACAGTTAGCAATCTATACTTGGCCCGCGGCCACCGCG